TTACATTACATCACGTGGAAGTATAGTGACTCTCATTCACCTGTTGTGTAAAATCTCAAGGTATTACCCGCTGAATCGATGACTGATGATAAGTAATTTTCGGGAAGATGGTTTCATGGAGAAAAATTATTATTAGCGGTGTCTGAGGAGTATCTCACAAGCAATTTTTATATTTTTCGTTTCCGCAAAGTATGTGTCTTGAAAATTTGCTATAGTCTGTTACATGAATCGAAGATTTGTTTTGGCTGTCGATTAATATGCAGATATGTTTTGGCTATTGTTTGGCTGTTAATTTTTGCTTAAAAAATCACTGGCTGATTCCTCAAAAAAATACTGCAGTATTTTGTATGTGTAGGACAAGTATCGACGGTGTAAGTCGGCAATCACATAACTCGGAAAACACGATTTTTCAGGAGAGGGAAAAACTCTCTACATTCCTCATCTTTGAAGGTAGAGGGGAAATAACTCTTAGAGACAGCCAGGATAAGATGCTTCATAAAACTCCATCATCATTTTGAATAATATTCTCGTCTGTCAGGAGAAATGACCGAAAAACTGAGTTATGTGTTTGTGGAACTAAGGTCCAACACTGAATTCCGAGATACATGGTTGGCGAATTACTGATTCAAACCTATTCTTTGCCGATGTTGACTGAGTGAAGATTGAATAAGACTCCTCTCACTTTAAAAGTAGCCTAAAGTTCCTTTTAACAAACTTTAATTGGTAGCGAATCTTTAGAATGACACTGGAAAACAATTCGATGGCGTAAGTCGGCAATCACATAACTCGGTTTACGACGTTGCAGACTTTCTGTCATACTTCATTTTTTAAACAGAAAACTATTCAACGGCAATTCTTTAAAACTGCCGTGAGTTTTCTTCTCTACGCGAAGAAAATTCTGTATAAACTGCAAGAAATGATGTCAAATGTGTCGAGGTTCTCCTTTAAAAAAAATAACGTAGAGGCGGAGATTTTCAGACACCGTGAACGAGATGATTATGTGATTGCGGACTTAGGCCGTCGAATTACAAATTAAAATGAAATGAAGATAAAAATAAGCGGACGATAACTCAGTTATCCGTCGGATTAGATGTTAGATGTTAAAACAATAACAATGTTTTTGTTGTTTGACGATTCCGTGACGCACTAACTTTTAATTTTCCCTCCTAAACTGTTCACGATTCTTCCCGGGAGAGCGCGCGTTGTGTAAAAATGCGGCGCGACGGCACGAATTATGTGTTGTTGGAATTAACGCCGAGATATGTGTTTTGAGTTCTACGTTTTTAGGTGACTTCCAGATTTTTTTCGGCTGAAATATTTTGATAGCAGGTAAAGGGCATCTACTACACTTCATTTCTGCAGCTAACTCAAAACCGCCAAAAATCGAGTTGTGTGATTGCCGAGTTACACCGTCGGTATGCTGAATTGACAGGGAAGACTGCAACAAATTCTAAAAATTTTGAAAAGCCCAGCTTCCCAGTAGATGTTCAATGCTCCCGTGCAAGAAAGAAACACGGTTATTGTAGGTTGCCTACAGGAAATTGCTCTTTCTTTGGAAAAAAGTCGAATAGAATTATAGCAGTCAAGAAGATTGTCTCCACTCTGAAATGAAATAATTGGAATATGTCACGTTCCTGCTTGATATGAGCGACTTTCTTCAAGCATATCTTCCTCTTGACTAATTCAGGAAAACTTCCTACTTATCCAAAACCAAGCAATACTGCTGTGGTGGCGAAGAGAACAGCAAGTGTCAAATTTTCTAAATGGAGTTTTCTTCAAAATTTGTTCAATCTTCTTTTAGATGAAATCATTAAAATGACTGAAACAGCAAAATACGTCTTAATTGTATGAAAACGAGACATATGAGAATCCCGTAAGTGCGCTAAAAATGGCGTAGTTTCAGGCAAAACAGCCGTAAGTGACATTATTCCTCCAGAGAACTAATGAAAACAATGCTTTCATGAAAAAAGCCGCCTTCTTCTGCCAATATATAACCTGAAAATGTGTTCGTTGTGTGTCCGAAATGCAACCCCGAAAGCATGCGGAAGATAGCACTTTCGGCTTTCTTGCCTAACATTAGCCGAATATGAAAATAAATAATACCCTTTTCATGTGTTTGAAATAAAATCGGTCGATTATTAATCATCCAAACAATTTCTAGGAATCTTGCGGACGATCAGTGATATTTGAGAAAGAACGGAGGCCTCTTTCAGTAGTTTTTTGGTCAGACGCTTCTGGGCCCGTTCTATCAAAATTTCATTTTTGCAGTCACTGCTCTCTTCGCTATTACGGCAGAATACCAGATGGTCCCCCTTTCGGCTGCTCTGCGGCCCAACTTACAGGGATTAGTGTCTAATTTAAAGTATCGAGAAATCATGAAGAAACGTAATGCAACAAACAAATTTAAAGCACAGTGGTATGCGATTATGCGAAGAGGATTAAACAATAATTGGACTACATTTTCCGATTTTTTTTTTTTTTCTCTTTTGGAACTAACATTTTAGGCTTTAGTCATATCCAAGTGAAGTGTTATAAGTATGATTCAAATCCCTCTCCCCATCAAAAAATTAATTAAAGTAACTCGATTTTCAGTTTTTTTTTTCAAATTCATTTCCTTTACTCTCTTTGGATTGGAAATATCCGAGAATATCCCATGTCCTTACTTCCTGAAGGCTTCTCAGTTAAAAAAGAAAAAGCATTACAAATAAAATGACAGGATATAAACCAACTAAGATGCCTTTCCAAAATATACCCTCGATATTTGAATATTGCGGGGAGCATATCATAATTGATGAATATGTGTACAAAGCTGGGTTCGAACCCAACATGCAACTACTTTAACTCTGCAGAGTGGCGGGTTGCATACGCTTGATTTTGCGGGCGAAATCTAAGATCTGCCCAGGCTTTCGCGATAAAGTTACGAATGGGGGAAGTTGCATTTATTCAAATTTACACCCTCCTTTATTAATTTTAGGGAAAATTTAAATTTTCAGTTCATTTACTTGTAAAAAAATCAGCTTATCTGGTGTGGTCATACAAAACAAATGGCAGATAAAAAACTGCCTGAGGAGGTACTAAAATGGTTTCCTCTTGAAAGAAAACGTATAGGAGACGCCCAGCAAAATCTTGGATAGGTGGCATTCAAAATGAAATTACAAGGAATTATTTACCAGATGACCTCTATTCCAATAGACAAGGATGGCGATTAGGTGTAGCAAAGCACCCAGGCGCGGGCACGCTGTAAAAGCGACAGGTAAATAATATAAAAAAATACGTAATGATCATTGATATTCAGGTCAAATCAATTGAAAGCAATTTTTTGTAAATTGATTAATTAGGAATCAAAACATTTGTTTAAAATAAAACAATGTAATATTGTCAAATAATATTTAAGCAATTTTTTTAAAAAGTAAATAAGCTTCAAGATATTAAATATCCGTCTCCTGCGGTGAACCCGTTTCACGATCGTGAATTTTTATGACATATAATAATTTTAAGGAGCCTATTGTGTTAAATATATGAAAGAAATGAGCGGGCATAAACAGTTAAGGAAATTTGAGAGGGAAGAGCAAAATGCCGTAGAAAAAGTAGATGTCATTACACTCTTGCATCATTTCAGTCTGATGGACGAAAACGAAACACGAGAGGACGCAGCCGAACTACAGTCACCATCTCGTGGTCCTGGACAAGGCTTTGAAATCGCGGAGGTTGAGGTTGGGTTGTCGCCGGCCGTTGAATCAACTCTAAATCACTGATTTTGAGCGAATGCTCCAGCCGTGGATAGTTAACTCAAGATTTCACTTTCATCGGAAAAGAGACCGATCCGAGGTCTTGATTTGAACCGCATGCGTTTCACATCCCCTCACGCCTCTGGAGGGGTTGACAGCGCGGTACGCGTTTCGATCCCCGTCCAGATTTCAATACCGAGGGGATTCCCGGTACAGTTGCCTCTTGATATCTGAGGCCGAGGCAACTCGGAAATGAACTTTTGCGGTCTCTGCTCTACATGAAACTATGATAGACAAGCATGTGCAGATGTGCTGTAGTGCTTAATTTCTTACCCTTTAGAGTGGTCTTCTGAATGATCAAGGATTTTTTACTGCATTATATCTGAATAACATCAACCGAACCAGTTATAACTACTGTTGAAAGTTTTGGGAGAAAACTGGTGTGCAATACTGCTATGTTACCAAAGAGAGCTTTACGCGCAAAAAAATGGATCTAGTACATAACATCTAACAGGAAAATTTGATTGATTGAATCCTTGGCTCTTTGAGAAATTGTTAATAATGACCCTGAAGACTTTCAGAAATGATTCAAATCATTAAAAATCGACGAATTTTAGTTGTGACTTTCCAAAATGGCCTTACTCATTTCATTATAGTGCAAAATAGCACAAGTGATCGAGTTAACAATGAGATGCTAACTTATTGAGAATCACTCAAACATGTAATTTTACATCAATCTCATAGAAATTCTTTGGGGGGGGGTTTTAAACAACTGATATCTAAATTTGAGAATTTCCGAAAAGTGTTTGAATTGATATTGAGGTCAAACTTTCACGTTCGGTGTAGAATGGTGGTAAATGTTGGTATTTCAGAGTTCTTTGCTATTTTTCAATTTTAGGAATTGCGAATTGAGGGCATTCATTCTTTGGTGTAATCTGGCGATGAATAACTTCGACACAAGCGCGTGGGGGTGCCAGAGTTTTTCTCAGTGGCTGGAGAGTTTGGCATGCACTCCAGGGGAAACCCTGAACACAGCACCCACGCATTTTTCGTGGTTTTAATGGACGTTGGTGAGAGAAGCATGTTGACAGTGCAATAAGACAGGACTGAAGATTGAAGGTCACAGGGGCAGTTCAATAATTTTATTCATAGGAAAGAAAAAGGGAGATAACTATTCTTTAATAAGGGAGAAATAAAGAAAGGAGCACTCCCTTTAAAGTCAATGAAACAATTCTTAATGTTTACGGTTCAATATTAAAATTCTTAACTTACCTTGATAAACTTGGTGAGGGAATCGTTGTAACAGTTTGCTGTGTCCTTTTTAGCACTAGCGCAGCCTTCAAGGATCATTTTGAACATTTCTAGTAGGAGACTACAATTCTTGTCAATATCCCTCTTCAGAAATCTACCATTTTTCAAATTCTCACTCTCAAGAAGGCTTCCAGAAACAGCTGCGTCTACTAAATTGAACAGGCCATCTAGAGGTAGAATGTTCTTTTGAGTTTCTTTTAAACAGTCCAATAAAGCAGCCCTATTTAGAGGGTCTTCCTTGCTGACAAGTTTGACCTAAAATACAGGGGCTATGATTAGAAAAGAATCGAGGACATCTATAATTACAATGTATCACAAGACAGAGCACGAATTAAAAAGCCAAAAAATATGTCCCCATATTAAAATTTTAAGTAGAATAACATGGACACATTAAAACTTTCCTAATTCAAGTCGTGAGTCAGAAAGTATTGGTTTTTGTGTACGGTGATTTTCACATGCCACTTACATAAAAACCGTAGTATACTGGAGTCAAATCGAGCACTAAAGCAATTTCTGTATATTTTACAATGGAAAAATTTTCCTAAGTGCTAATTTTTTTTTTTTTTTTTTTTGACAAGATGGAAAGTTCCTTGCAACAGAAAAGGAAGGAAATGTGTGTGAAACTAGGCTCCAGTTATTAATTTAATATATTGGTTGATTTCAGAGCCTACTTGGGCCTTCACGGATATGTTTTTTTTTTTTGGGGGGGGGGGGGCAAGCAGGAGGATTGAACTGACATTTTATAATGTAAACTACGTACGTTCATTTGTGACTTAGGAAATAGTTTAGGCAATTTTCGATACACTCAATTGATTTTTTTACATTTTCTCTCTCTGTGGAGAAAAGTTTACCAGCCAACCAACCAGCGCCACCCAACAGGAGGTGCTTTGGCACAGGGGTGCCAAAGCACCTCTCCGTTTCGACGTATTCTGCGAGAAATTTTGATGAAAAAAACATTTGCTGTGGTGCTAAACATCTTACCCTGTCTATTGATCCATTGATTAATGCAGGAATGAGGTATACTTGTCAGAGCCTTTGACGCCTCAACAATGAGTCTGCTGTTTTCAAGCTCTTGGAGCCAGAGTTAGGTGCAGCTGCCTCACTCACAATCCCGAAGTCCTTAAGAACAGTGCAGGATGTTGACTCTGATCGACCCCCATCCCTAAAAAGATGTTTTTCTGATGTCTAGATGGTAGCAGTGTTAGTCCCTGCCCCCTTAATATCCACACTGATTTGTCATAATCTGAACTCAAGATCTTTTTATGGATGATACTGATGCCTCTTCTCACCAGAAAAACCCAGTGGAGCCGGACTTTTCAAAGCTTTTGGAAAAACAGAACACTTCACTCATGCATATTTGCCGCTACGCACCAGAAAGACTCATTTACCACCTAATTTTGAGGCGCCTGATTGATGAAGCCAAAACCAAAATCATGTTTTTAGAACCTTGAAACTCCCAAAAACGAAACTTAACAAATATCCGATCTGAAACGCCAGCAGATAACATGTAAAATACCCGTTTCCCGCCGTTATCAAGCGACCATTTTGAAACAGTAATGGATAGCGATCTCCGGTTTGCATGAGGATTCCTTTTTTATACCCTTTCCAAGGATGTGTCACAAGTGGGGGGAGGGGGGGTTGTCTTGGGAACCCCACAGCCACCAACTGAAGATAGCCCCCAACATCCCCCAAAAACCCCCCATGACTAAAAAAAAGGAAGGAATATGAAAAAATTTCTAAAGAGAGAGGGTTCTCATTTTCTTCTGTCCTTCATGAATTCGAAGTCAAAACATACCCTTCCTACATGAAATATGCGAGACACGGGGGCTACCCTCCATAATAGGGTTTCGGAGGGCTGAAAATATTTTTATTTAATTCTCTGAGGTTTTTTGACCTTGTAAAATTTTATTACCTATTTATCTATGTGATCTGACCTCCCACCCCATTCCCTCTTCTCTCATTCTAAATCGGAAAATTTCCTTGATATTTTCTTTTTGAGCCCCTGAATGCATCTAGTCTTGCACTTATTGTTAGTCTCATTCAGACAGAATTTATCAGGACGTTCTGTAATTTGATAGAATCCCATCTTACATAAATCTTCAAGATTTAAATTGCAACCCCTTTAATACAATGTTTTCAATGGATAAGGCTTGTATATTTAAGGAGGTAATCCAGATTGGTAAAAAAATGTGATTAATTGCATAAAGCATTTTAAAGGGATAAATGAAGTCTCCACATAAAACTTACTTTGTCGCATTTCCTGTAAAACTTTGAAATGGAGTGGAAAAATTCTAATCCCATGGAGGATACTTGCTCGTCTTTCAACAGATGTGACAGAAGATGCGAATAAAGGAAGACATAAACTGGCTTCTCTGCGAGTTCATATGGTAGATCTGAGGCCATGTAAATGATGTAATCTCTGACTTTCTCAATGTCACACACAGCAATGAGCTGGTCCCAAACAGTATCAAATTCAATTAGTTCTGAAAAATTGAAAAATTTATGCACACCACTGAGAGAGCAGACGTTTAAAAAAGTAAAGGGCACTCAGAAAAAAAGGGGAAAAAACCCCAAATGATTGGATTGGGGTTGGAAAAACATGAATACAGAATTTCAAATGATCATGATATGGGTGCGTAAAAATTACAGGTGATTCCGTGTCTTAAAATCATACTTCATGATAAAAAATCATGAGCATAACATGTAACACCTGGTGCTAGGCGTGTCCACTAACTGTTCCACTGCATCAACCTGTCTCCTTACTTCAAGAATATAATAACAATGCTTGAAACTGAGCAACTTTGTACTGAACTTTATTTATACTGTAGACTAAAAGTAGGTTACCACTAAACTAACTACTAGACTAAAGAAGGTTATATTGAACGTATGATTTGCTAAAAAGTCATAGCAACATTCTCCCTGCAGGCAATTGAAAACTTCCATTTTGATGATCTGACATAAGTACTGAATACTGAAAATTTTGATTACTGATTACTGAGTATTGGAAATTACTGAAAATGTTAAATTTGGTCGACAATATTTTGAGGGTCAATTGTAAGTAGGCTTAGCTCCACTCTTGACGTTGTGCTGAAATTCGTTCTTAATATTGCTACTCTAGAGCATCAATTCTTTCCAATGTGGAGTCTTGTGACGCGCGCTAGCTTCCAACGATCTTGGGGAAAATCCCTCTGTTCCATCACTACCATAGTAAGGGAAGCACTGCTTCCCCTACTTAAATCGGCAAAGGGAGAAGAGGATAAAATAATTAATTTATTAATTATTGAGACTTATAAAGGTTAAAATTCAAATAAAAAGAATTCCAACAGTTGCACAGCCCCAAAATGAGAGAAAGAATGATGAAAATCTGCCAGCAGTGCTGCCTAGAACATTACCACTTCATTGAGAGCTCATAAGGAAGCTACATGGTGGCTTGATGTTGCGTTCGGATGCCCCCCCCTTTCCCCCCTCTCCGCACATAGCCTGGAGCCGTGCATTATCCGTCGCACTGTAAGCAACTAATCTATAACCTCGCGCGCATTTCTCTGACCGATCCGCAGCACACTCTACCTGCATGCACAGGCACACTTACGCACTCTACCGCTCCTTACACCAGTTCATCGCCTTGTTACGCAGTATACACATGCCTTGAGTTATTACCCCTAATTATTAATTGTGATGTCAGCGACGGGGAGGAGAGAGGGGGGTTTAAAGCTTATTCTGTACAATTTGCACTGGAAAGAGTTACTCAAAATCCTAACCACTGCTTCCCCCATGCTTTTGGTCATGCCACGCTACTGCCATAGCTCCCTTCTTCAAAGGGTATGCTTTTGTGTGTCACTTTGATAAACACTGTAGCTGTTATACAGGGTGTTCGAAAAGTCCCCTCCCCCCCCCTCTAACTTTTGACCTAATTGAGGTAGAGATTTGAAACTTGGAGGGTGTTCCTAGATCAAAGGGAGCTACTTTTTGACCCCCCAAAATTTTTGGGGGCCCCATTTTGGGGGGGTTACGGACCCTAACTTTTAATTTTCAAATGGGAAGACCCCCTTTGTGATACCTCGTTCGAAAGAGCATAAAAAAAGAAAATTTTTCGCGCAAACCGGAAGTCATTATCTCAAACCGTTTCAAAATGGCGGCCGGTCAAAGTTCCAAATGGCCGAAAATTGGCACCTCTGCTATTTGCACATGGATTTGCTTGAAACTCGGTATCTGGGGGTATTTTGGCACGAGAAAAACGAATTTAACGTTAGATTTTCAAAAAAACCCTAATTTTTCAAAATGGCGACCGGTTTAGGCTCAAAAAGGCCGAAAATTTGACAAACTCGATTTTTTTGCCAATGGATTCACCTGAAATTCGGTATCTGGGGGTATTTTGACCCGAGAATAACGAATTCAACGTTTGATTTTTAAAAAAACCCTAATTTTTCAAAATGGCCGCCGATTAAAGTTCAAAATGGTCAAGAATTGGCAACCTCGACTTTTTGCCGATAGATTCGCCTCAAACTCGGTGTTTGAGGGTATCTGGATGGGAGACAAACAAATTCGACGTTATTTCACCGAGTTTCAGGCGAATCTAATGGCAAAAAGTCGAGGTTGCCAATTCTTGACCATTTTGAACTTTAATCGGCGGCCATTTTGAAAAATTAGGGTTTTTTTAAAAATCAAACGTTGAATTCGTTATTCTCGGGTCAAAATACCCCCAGATACCGAATTTCAGGTGAATCCATTGGCAAAAAAATCGAGTTTGTCAAATTTTCGGCCTTTTTGAGCCTAAACCGGTCGCCATTTTGAAAAATTAGGGTTTTTTTGAAAATCTAACGTTAAATTCGTTTTTCTCGTGCCAAAATACCCCCAGATACCGAGTTTCAAGCAAATCCATGTGCAAATAGCAGAGGTGCCAATTTTCGGCCATTTGGAACTTTGACCGGCCGCCATTTTGAAACGGTTTGAGATAATGACTTCCGGTTTGCGCGAAAAATTTTCTTTTTTTATGCTCTTTCGAACGAGGTATCACAAAGGGGGTCTTCCCATTTGAAAATTAAAAGTTAGGGTCCGTAACCCCCCCAAAATGGGGCCCCCCAAAATTTTGGGGGGGTCAAAAAGTACCTCCCTTTGATCTAGGAACACCCTCCAAGTTTCAAATCTTTACCTCAATTAGGTCAAAAGTTAGAGGGGGGGAGGGGACTTTTCGGACACCCTGTAAGTTTTCTCCTTGCCACCTGGTCCAAAAATCTCCCATCATTTTCTTAATGTTCTTCCAGTTTTAGAATAATCACATAGAACCAGTTTGAAGGTAACGTCGTTATCAGTCTCCCTATTAGGAAGTGCCTTGGACTTATTGGTTCCTCGTCATGAAGATCGAATGATAAAGAAATTATAGGGGGAGAATTTAGAATACCCTCACTTGGATTATGAGGGTTTTGGCTTCTTGAAAGGTAAAAACTGTTGATATGTATTGTAATTATTCTAAAATGTTTCTTGAAACTTTTTATTGCAGCTTTGTATAATCCTTGGAAGGAGAGCAAAGTGGAGGAGTTTTTTCATTCGATATTATTTTTACTGAGGTAACTGGAGATGTCAAGCAATTTGATTAGGTCATTAATAGTTTTGTCTCACATATTCTTTGCTCCTGTGAATGTTCTTAAATTGTCAGAATACATAACAGATGGAATGGCTCTTTCTTGCTGTGAATTTCTTTAGGACCTGGAGAAAATCCTATGATGAAAAGCTTAAGCCATAATTCCATATGAATAAAACAAACGAATAAGAAACCATATCCTTTTATCAGCAGAGTTCCATCATTGGAGGATTTTAAATGCATTGGTCCTGTGCAGTCCAACCCACAATGGGAGAAAGTAGAAAAGAAAGATCGACTCCGCTTTTTGGCAATGGATCCATTACTCAAGATAAAAATTCTGGGTGTTGACCTCTACAACACAAGTACTTCAAATACACAAGTCTTCTGCTCAGTTTCTTGAACACAACACGATTAGTAAAGCCTGATTTGATGATTCACAGTGTAGGCGGTGTTGATTCCTTTCCTTTTTGTCTTTGTCAGCAACATCTTCTTCGGTTTTTCAGAAGTTTGATAAAAATTCAGGGAAATTCCTGGTCTCTTAGATTTATTACATAGAATAAAGTTATTCCTACTGATAAACGTTTTTGTGTCAGAGGAAATCTTTTCTAATGAATCTGTTATTCTTGTTTTCTTCTCTGAGAAACTCAAAATTCCTGGTCTTGTTGGTGGAGTTGAGAAATTAACTACTTTTTCCCACTCGGAAAGATTTATTGAATCCAATTTTGAGACCATAACATTTGTAGTAAGATCCAATGAGATTGTCTGTACTTTTGCTGCCTTTAAGCCTCTCAACGATTGAACAATCTTAATACAGATTGCTTCCAAACCTTGAGAATCCAATTTGTTCATACCATCACAGGATAAGCTAACTGTAGTATTTAAGCTTTATTATATTTTTCTGTATAAAGTCTCTTGTTATGGAACCTCTCTTTTACAGTTAAAACCACGATGTCATAATTTCCTTCAGAGAAAGTCAACCCTACTATTAGAGATTCAGCCATTCCACTCAGCACATATTTCAGATGATGGTATTTTAGTGTTTTTGGTAAATTATCATTTTCATGCACAAGCGCCTCAAACATTTACCAGAACAACAGTAAATCCTAGTACTTTCTATTAAACTCCGGCAATCGTGGCTTCTTCATGCTGTTGCTTGGGATACGGCACTTACAGTCTTTGGAGACAGACCCGCAGTGCGGTCAGTTTTACCTGAATCTGTTTCCTTCGCCATGGCATATGCTTCAGCTACCGCATTGAAGTATTTTTTCTCAAAGGAGGGTAAGTCCTTCAAGGTCAATAGAAAACGCATAACATGACACAGTAAGAAAACATGTTTTCTTTCTTTTTTTAATTTATTTTCCAACTTAAAAATCTTTTCATTGCTGATTTGTAGGGATCACCTAGGCTAACTAGTTTTACTTGAATGGCAATTTTACAATAAATCTACCATCACTGTATTTCTTAATGGTTTCAGTGAACAATATTTAAGTTCTGAGTCATGGCAACAACCCCTCCCTGCGCACTCTGCGCCTTCTCAATCCGCTTCCCTTTCTCATATTGAGCTCTTACTCTACCCCCCACTCTCCTTTAGACTTTTTGCTGTTTTCCCTTTCACCTTTTAGCCACTTTCTCTTCTGACAATCAACAGTTTCCCAATCATTTCAGACCAGTTATCTCTGCAACTTTGCAACACGTTCTTCTGTGCTGCCTTGTGATCTTGATCTTCATTAATCTCATCTATAATTTCTACTTTTGTTCACTTATTCAGGGACTTAATTGATCTTTCCAATGATTTGTTATGTACTCTTTACAAAATTGTTTTCTTTTCTATGGTAAAGCATCATTCTTGCTGACTTCCTTGATAGTGCTGAGCATATATTGTCAATTATTTTGTATATCATCTCATTTCACGGGAACTATCGAAAATGACTGATCTGCTTCACCCCACAATTATTAATATGGTAGCCGATCAAAATTGTTTGTTTACAGCTGTGTCTTTTTGCATGCTGAATTAACCCACAAGGAGTCTGTGAAGCGGACCCTTGAGGACACGCCCTGGGGGGTTGAGCAGCATAGCAGCCAAGAGTATCTTAAAAATTTATTCCAGCACACAGCTAAAAACTTACCTTCCTTGGAATAACGAAATTGGAAGAGAAGGTATAGAATTCTGACTTCAACTTGGTCAAATGCTTCAACTATAGCTTGCAATTGGTCAATTATTTCCAAATCAAGCTCATCGCACCAATCAAACCACCATTTTTCCAGCATTGACAGGAGATGTTTTGGAGTTACTATCTTGGATAAGAAGCTGGGCGAAGCTGACAACATGGCTTTCACGACTAGCACGTTATCATCAATAAGACAGTCAGCGAGTACATTTTGCAAAGATTCAATCTGCAAAAACAAGTAGGAATTTTGTCAGATATTACCCACTGTAAACTCTGCCGCACTACCGGAGAGAGCAGTAAGAGCAAAAATGAAGTTCTAAGAAAATGAACCCGGGGCCCTATTCATTATCACTAGACATTAGAAAATTTCGCTATTATTTTCCCCCGATTTTGCGGTTATTTTTCCCGAATTTCCCTGTTATTTATGCTGATTTCGCCATTATTTTTGTAACGCTTTTTGTGTTTTACAGCTAAAAATAAAGCTTTTAATTTTATTTAACGAGCCATCACTCAGTCTCTCTGTCTAATCCTATTTTACAGAAGAAGCACTTCATTCTTGATTAAAAAATATCTGTTGGTAACTTTTTAAAAGCTTTTTCTATCAACATATACTCGTTTTTTTATTCTTTATAGTGACATCAATTAAATTTTAGTGAGATGCTGATGTTAAAATTATTTGAGGTTATGTTTATGCCCTGGTTGCCTCTATTTCTTTCATCAGTATTTTGATGCCATTGGCGAACGTTGATAGCTAGTAGCCAATGACGATCAATGCTCAGAAACAACTCCGTAATTTCTTATTTTGAAAAAAAAGCGCGGCAAATTTTGCCTTACACGCATACATGCGTAACTTTAACGAAAATGTACGGATTTCGCCGATTTCGCGGAAAAATTTGGATGATTTCGCGGTGATTTCGTGGATTCTGCGCTATTTTGCGATAAATCCGGAAAAGGGCCGATTTCGCGTTATTTCACTTTGTATGTTCGTGATCAGGGGGTTGTGATTGGTGCTTCTGTCTGGTTTTCAGATTCCTGAGCACATTTTAAAAATTTCGCGGCGGATCGCGGCAGCGAAATTTTCCAATGGTTATAAAATTATCACTCATGAAACAGCTCCTTTCCCTGGGATATGATTGACGTAGTGGTTCAAGAGGGTTGAAGGAGATCTTCAACAAAGTATCCTAAATAAGACCATTTTTACAAACCTTGAGTAAAATTCAGGAGTGAAACTTTGGTAATGGAGCCTTACCAGGGATCACAACGATTCGCTATTGCAACAAGTACAAAATACAAAATAAAAAATTCTATGATTTTGACTAATCTTGAGGTAGGGGCGGGCCTGTTTTAAAATTTATACAACTTGAAATCAGGGCTGCAGAATATTCACGATCCTGCGAGAAAAATCTCGCGGGTGAACGGTGCACACAGCAAAACACGGTGTACACTCCGGCAGGCACAGCATAGGCAATTTGCACATCACCTCATCCGTGTGGCGTTTGAAGCATATCTTCGCCGTTGAAGGCGCTCCAAGCGGTGCGCGCCCGCGATAATTCGAATTCGCGGCGTCAGCTTTTTTTCAGATCGCGTCGACTTTCGGTGCCGTGCCTTATCTTGAAAAGCACACTGATTTCTTGCCTATATTACTGTAGCCGCACTGATATTTTTGTTAAAATTTCTTTAACAGGGTTGATTTTTTGTCAGATTTACTTCAATCGCCATTGCGCATAACTTTTGTCAAATTTATTTCGGCCGTACTGACTTTGGTCAAATTTACTTCAGCTGTGCTGATTTTTTTTGACAAATTTACTTCGACCGCGCTGATTTTTTGGTCAAAATTACTTCGACCACGCTGTGTGTAAGTGCGTAGGGAAAATATGTGTCTTGCTGATAAAAGCGTATACTGAAGAACTTTTTGCACCCCTGCTTGAAATACTTTTTCTTTCGTAATTTGTATTTTCAGTGGGGTCAACACATTATGATCTGTGGTAAGAATCCATTTCCTGAGTTTCACTATCGAGTTTTACTCTAGGTTTGCAAAAATTGTCTTTCTTGGTGGCTATGTTAAGGATCTACTTATATCCTCCTCAATCACAATATTGGCGATATGAGGCCTCCTAAGAAAAGGAGCTGTTTAGGAAAGATTATAAATACGGCCTTCAGTGGCGTCTATTGGACAATTGAACTAAATGTATCCTCAGTTTTTTGTAAAATTGCCTTCGATCAACCAAAAGGCTCAAAAAATTTTTAGATGATAAGAATCGAAAAATTGTATTTAAGACTCAAAAGAAAGGGCCTTTTTTCTCAAATATTAGGCAAGACAGCAGTAAGTGTTTGCACTGCATGGTTACTTTACGGACACACAATGAACAAATTTTAAGTTTAGAAATTGGTAGAGAAGGGTATCATTTTATGCAAGACAGGAACCCTCTTGTGGAACAATGAGCACTTACTGCTGTTACGTCTGAAATGACGTCATGTTTTCCTCACCTAGCTCATAAATCCTGTTTCTGTGTAAATAAGAGAATTTGGAAGGAAACTCTGTTTTGAAAATTTGTGCGTTACTGATTTCAATGGTAACACATCAGGCTGGTCGAAACACAAGTAGATTCATACACAATTATCATTTAACAAGAAAAGAAAAAATTTTTTCCTCTCAAGTTGTTGAAACCAGCGATGAGCGGGAAGTTTGCAAACATTTTTTAAAATGTAAACTACAAACGTTTATTTCTGGCTCAGGGGTTAGTTTTAAAAATTTTCAAAACGTTCGGCACTGTACCCAGACCTACTGTACCAGGCATTTTTCTCGGTTAATTTGGGTCGTACGAAGTCCAGGATCGCGGGGATGAATAGGGAATTGACCCCAAGGAATCCGAATTGCATGATCCCAGAGCCCCCTGGCGTTCTTTGGGGAGTGAAAGGGGGGTCCGCACTTCAAAAGTCAGGAATTTTGTCAAAACTTTGAAATTATTTCACCAAAATCAGAACGTACGGAAATTTTTAACTTAAATCAACACCAAGAAATCCAAAATCGGCCCATCTGTGTCCAAAATACCGACCCCTAAAGGAGCGGGACAGAGCCCCCTTTCAAAAAAATTCAAGTTCGTCAAATTGACGTGGAGACTCGGAAAAAATGTGTATTCACAGGTAATCGACCCCAAGGAATCCAAAGGACCCTCCAACAAAACGGCCAAATCGGCCTAAACACGGAATCGCACGATTTTCTCAGGGATGATAGAGGGTCTTCCCAGACACTCAAAACTGGTCATATTTTTTGCCTGACCCCCAGGGAAAAGGGGGGAGAGGGGGTCAAAGTCAAAACCTTTAAATTAGCATAACTTCTCAACGGTTTGTCGTAGAAAGAAGATCTTGGTGTCAAAATTTCCAGAAAAATGAGAGCTTTCAGAATGTATGTATGAAATTAATAAAATTTTAAAATTTGACCCACTTTTGGGGCATTTTACAAGGTCCCCCTTTCGTAAATTTTCGTTTTTTGAGATTTTCGGTTGTTCGGTTCGCACGGATTAAAACAAAAACAATTTCAAATGAAAGTAGAGCGTTTAAGCTTTAAAACAAGCCCAAGATGATCTTGGGGAAACGATTAGAAGCGGAGTTATGAGTCTTCAAAGTTGACGCGGCGCGCGGGAACCTTGTAAGTTCCGAGTCTCAAGGTCACCTGCGCGCCCCGGATTGCCTGCAGGTTGCAAGTTTTTGTGTTTATATGCTTCTGTAGGTCATTTTTAATGTAAATCATTCAATGAAGATAGAATAATCGAAATTTTTTAATTTTACGGGAGGAGCGAGAGGGGGCTTAGAGTATGAACCATAATAGCTCATTAAACATTTGCTGACGATGACGATTCTGCTCTTATAATTTAGAAGAAACCATGGACCCTCAGTTCAAATATACATATGCTCCATACAGAACTGAACCATTTAGAAATTATAACCCATTGATGCCAAATTTTGGGGTACCCCTAATTTTAAAATTTTTTAATAAATTGAGCTATAAGCTACAGCGCTTGACGGAACTCACTTGGTAAAGCCAAATAGTTTCTGGTAGAAGCAGACGAGCTTTGAGCTTCAAAACAAGTCTCAGTTATTCTTGAGGGGGCTATTTGAAACGCAGTTAAAATTTTTTGACGTTAATGTGGTGTACCTCGCCGAAGGCCCATTGTGTAAAATTAAAAAATTCTGATTAAACTATCTTCATTGAAGATTTACATTAAAAATGACCTACAGAAGCATAAAAACACAAAAACTTGCAACCTGCAGGCAATCCGGGGCGCGCAGGTGACCTTGAGACTCGGAACATACAAGGTTCCCGCGCGCCGCGTCAACTTTGAAGACTCATAACTCCGCTTCTAATCGTTTCCCCAAGATCATCTTGGGCTTGTTTTAAAGCTTAAACGCTCTACTTTCATTTGAAATTGTTTTTGTTTTAATCCGTGCGAACCGAACAACCGAAAATCTCAAAAAACGAAAATTTACGAAAGGGGGACCTTGTAAAATGCCCCAAAAGTGGGTCAAATTTAAAATTTTATTAATTTCATTCATACATTCTGAAAGCTCTCATTTTTCTGGAAATTTTGACACCAAGATCATCTTTCTACGACAAAACCGTTGAGAAGTTATGCTAATTTAAAGGTTTTGACTTTGACCCCCTCTCCCCCCTTTTCCCTGGGGGTTAGGCAAAAAATATGACCAGTTTTGAGTGTCTGGGAAGACCCTCTATCATCCCTGAGAAAATCGTACGATTCCGTGTTTAGGCCGATTTGGCCGTTTTGTTGTAGGGTCCTTTGAGGGTCCCGCTGTCCTCAGAGATTTTTCTGATGGAAACAGGGGTAACCTCCAATTCGGTCAGATTTTAGAGTTCAGAGTCCCCCTGCGCCCTATCAGAAAAGTCTCTGAGGACCCTCAAATTTGGATTCCTCGGGGTCGATTACCTATAAATACACATTTTTTCCGAGTTTCCACTGAACATTAGACGAACTTGAATTTTTTTGAAAGGGGGCTCTGTCCCCCACCTTTAGGGTTCGGTATTTAAGACACGGATGGGCCGATTTTGGATATCTTGGTGTCGATTTAAGTTAAAAATTTCCGTACGTTCTGATTCCGATGAAATAATTTCAAAATTTTGACAAAAACCCAGACTTTTAAAGTACAGACCCCCCTTTTACCCCCCAAGGACCGCCAGGGGGGCTCTGGGACCATGCAATTTGGATTCCTTGGGGTCAATTCCCTATTCATCCCCGCGATCCTGAACTTCGTGCGACCCAAATTAACCGAAAAAAATGCCTGGTACGGAAGGTCTGGGCCACCCTGTATAAATCATCAGAAACTCGGAATATGCATACATATCACACATCTGTTAAACTCATTTAAAGTTGCCCTCTCCTTGATATGCATCCTACTTTAATTATTCCACTGAGAAAGAAAAAATATCTTTCATATCATAAAAAGAATATTGAGGACCTGACGCATAAGCAATTTGTTTCCATTAACAAATTTTGGGACAAGAGAGGTTAAAATAATCCATTATTCAGAATCATAACTCCATACTTGCAGTTGCTTAGACTCACTTTGGTGTCTGATCCATGTGAAGTAAGAAATAGTACTGCTTCAAGGCGCACTCTTGGGTTAGGATGAATTAGTTTTTCAAACAAGTCAGAATCAGGCACTGTGGAGGAAATACCCATTAATTTGCGCAGCTTCGCACTCTCCATAGAATTCATCTCGGAGGCTTTGATAGCGGAATCCCATGCTGTTGGATAACTCTTCTCTAGTTTTCTCAAGAGCTTGCAGATCCATTTTTCTTGATTTTTAGCAGTGCCATGGAGATTTACTGATTTGAAAATCATGCTAAGGGGGAAAAAAATTATAATTAATAGATCAATGAGCTGGAAAACAGCATATTTGGGATCAAATTGTTTTTCCTGTAATACGTCATTCACACACAGATCAAAAAGGGGAAAGCAAGTTCCCTAAAATAGTAATGGAATTCATCTATCCGTGTAGCAAGTAAAAAAAAGTTATTTTGCAGTACTCGTTATTTTCTCGCGAATTACCTATCAACAATGTGTCGGAGAAGTATTCGTTCCCGAATATCCGCCATAAAATCTTTCGATTTTAGGAGGATATTCAACAACGCTACTCTCCATCTTTTTCCGCTTATACACACCACGAACAGCGCATGCGCGTACTAGCGAGGATTCGCGATCGGCGGACGCATCGCAGGGTTGAGAGAGTTCGGACAGAGTGTTTTGGAATTCGCGACCGAAGGGAGCTGTGGCTTCGCCTGCGTCTTCACCCCGATTTTTCTCCCTCTCAGGAGTGATCTATCCATTTCATCAAAAGGAAAAATCTGTGTTTTTCCTTTAATCACTTCTCGCTGCCACCACCTCTTCCTGAAAATTTCTTTCCTCCGTCCATATCAGAAATATCTCAGTCTACGCTACGCATTGCGGTATCGCGACAAGACTGAGTGCATTTCTGATATGTAGGGACAATAAAGGCGGATTTGCTCCCCACAAATGGACCACTAGACACAGTAAGAAAATATGAACTGCAGCATGTGCTTCTTCATCAAAATTGTACACAGAAGACGTGCAACCTATCTAAGACCTTTGAAATTAACTCAGTGAGGAAAAATACACCTTTACAGTTACATTTCAAGAAGAAAATTCTGACTTCCCGCTCGCAAAAGAAACCATAATCAAGGTAGGCATATTAGGCATTCTATCCTCTACTGATATAAGGTATCTTTAATTTTGTCATGAAAAAATTAATGCACAGGAAAATGCTTCCTGGGTAAAAACGTACGGAAATAAATTTAGTGCTCAATTCAATTTGAGTAGACTCCAATTGTTTGGTGAATGAGTGGGAAGTGTGCATAGACATAGAAAGGAACCAATGTTTTCTAACTTATGAGTTGACTTTGGAAAGTTTTGATGTACCTATTTTATTCTATGTTCAATTTCAATGAGGAAATATACAGGGTTATTCAAAAGTCACGCACCACTAGCCATGAGGGGGGGTGGCCATTTGAAATTTTTAGCTGCCCCCGCCCCCCTCCCCCTGAGAGGGTCTAAAACTGGAAAATACCTAAACAAGTTTTCCCCTCGATATGAGAAAAACGTGACAAACTGCAAGGCGATATCTTAATTAGAACTGAGGTTATGGCCAGTGGTGCGTGACGTATGAATAACCCTGTATATTGTGGTTCTCCAACTCGCTGCATACTGTGATCATACACTGTTCAGTTGTCCAATGTTGTACATTCGTTTCCTTACTTCCTCATATTGCAAACCGATCCCTTTCTTCTTTTCTTTTCATTTCTTCCTTTCCTTCTTCTTATAATTCTTTACTAACATAGCTTTTCTCTAATTAAGTAGATCCCACTAGCAATCCCTTTCGTCACCCTATTATAGATTTCAAAGACTCTAATTAAACCTTATAGTAGGGCCCATGAACGATGATCCCTGAGCCCCCGGGTATTTCTTGCAAATGCTGGCAGCAGCGACACCCTGGCCTGGGCCAAGTCTCGAGCTCGGGCGACAATGCGCGAGCCTAGCCACAATCGAACCCTAATTACTCACAGGTAATTTACAATTTCACCGTCCCACTAGAATGAACCAAATTTTTTTGAAAATTGTTTAAAATGTATTTAGCGAGTGTTTCCTTAATCTCTGTTAAAACACTTGTAAAAAGAGGCCTCGTTTATAAAAATCGGTCGGAGAGCAGAGAAGTTACAGTTCGAGATACGATGAAAGAAATAAAAATTAGACTTCATTACAAGAGGGAAAAATAAGGAAGAAATATACAATTTGAAGTACAATTATATATCATTTAATTCAGAATTTCATACGCAATTCAACCATGTAAAGGAAGAGGACATTTGGGCAAAATTACAAGAAATTGGTATTTTATGAAAGGGCTTCCATTTAAGAATTTTGACCTGAAGATAGGGGTAGAATAGCAGCGGTTCGCAGTAAATAGCTTTTTGCGTTCACAATACCTGGTCTCGTTGATGTGCGTGCTGGACCTTGCAGTGTTGTCATTTACATGGTCCAAGCATTTATTCGCCCGATTTTTCAGGGATCATCGTTCGTGGGCCCTACTATAACTCCGTACAAAGATACAAGCCTGACCACTATAGGCCACTTACTGTCTCTATAAAGAATTTCGATCCACTCCAGTTTTTAGGTTACGGAGCACTCAGTGGAAAAAAAGCCTGCACATGTTCATTTTTCAGATTTTTAGTATGCATACTCCACATACTGCAATGTTTATCCTAAAATAACTAGTTATGCATGTAACATAATTTTTTTGTGCCACATTAGTACATCTGAGAAAATTTGCAAAATCCAGAATGGAGAACCATGGATCTTGCTTGGCGTGTCAGAAGACTGTGAAAGACACACGATTCAGAACTATCAGTTGTTTCCTATATGGGACTACCTCCACTTAGAACTCACTGTGCACATGTTGAGACAAAATCCTATCTTTAAGTAGCCTTGGATCAGCACCATACAACATGGTGATGCCCAGTGGTTGCGCATTTCTCCCATCTTTTTTCCATACTTCACAAATACCATGAATTTAAACTAATAAACTTGGTGCGTGAATCAATTATGTGCTTATTTTTCTATCTTCATTTTTGTTAGGCCTGTGGATTGATAGGAGAATAGATTGGTTGCATGTAAGAGATGCAGCCAATTGAGTACATAAGCTAAAGGTAAATTCGCTTGAGAGTCACGCTGGACGCATCTGAAAAATCTGAAATCCACTCCTTAGAGCACAATCTTCATAATTTGTGACACACTTTTCCAAATTTACCGCGTTTGCAGGCAGTTTTTCTTGGTGGCCGGCTTTCAGGTTTGTCAGGGGAAAGACCAAACTCAAATAAACAATCTTGCGAACTAATGTAAACTCTCCTTGTGAAGGATTTCAATTGATTCAAAGCTTTTGTTCGTGCAAAATAAAGAAAGAAAAAGGAAACAAACGTTTGAAATCATACAATAGTAAATAATAGTGAAATCGTTAGTTTACTCAGGTTAGTTATTTTTACTCCTCTGCCTGTGCAAACCTCGTCGACAGTGACTGAAAGGAACTACCTGCAGATATGGTAAACTTGAAAGAGTGTGTTACAAACTATGAAGACTGTGTGCCAAGAAATAGATTTCAGACTTTTTAGACAAGCCAAACGAAATTTTTCTTTGAGTTTACCCTTGAAGAGTACATTTATTTGGCTGTATCTCTTTCATACAACAGACCCACTATCTCATTTCACAAGAGAATAACTTATTTGCAGCTTTTTTGGCAGTTTACTTTGGGGAAAACTTGCTCTTTTTTTTTACTTTAACACATTGTATTTAAAAATAACCTGATTAGTATAAGAAGTATATACCTAGTATCTATCTACATGAATGAAATGAAATTAGAAAATTTGGTTTGAGAAAAAGTGCATGTGAATTTAATACTCATTCTTTGAATGCAGCACTAGAAGGGAATCAGTTTTCAATCAAGGATTCGACTTGGAGAGTAATGCCCATTCCAAGATTAGACTTTTCAGGAGAACTTCTATCTATAATAGTTCATCAACTTTCTAGCCTATCAAATGTAGCTTGCAGAAGTTCTTTCATGATTCCAGACTTACATTATTATGCTTACCTGATAACAGAAGCTGCTTCCTCTGCATCGAAGACAATTGTTTTAAAGAGATTCAAAATGAATTCCTTTTTTACTCTCTCTTCAGTTGCCTCTCTAGCAGTTATGGATCGGATTAGATTTCTGATGAGAGGCAAAACAAATGGCATTGTAAGAGCACCATTTTTAATGATCCCAGACAGGCAATTCAAGAACCATCTTGAGGAGTTCATGATGTTTCCAAGGGCTTGATCAGGAATGGTCAACTCCTCAGTCGTTCGAAGGGACTGAGTTTGATAGATTAAAGTTAGCAGTAATACCGTGTCTGACTGAAGTTTTGCAAGATGGACCTACAAATATTTAAATTTCAATCACTATTAGGATAAATCAACCAAATAAGAATAAAATAGTTTCTAGGACACTTATGCCTTTTATGGAGCAACAGAGGTTATTATTTGCTATACAGGGTGATCCAAAACTAAGTCCCTTCTACCCCCTCTAACTTTTATCCTAATTGAGGTAAGATTTGAAACTTGGGGGATGTTCCTATGTCAAAAGGAGCTCCTTTTTGGCCTCCCTAAAATTTTTAGGGGGGCTCCTTGGAGGAGGGATGGACCCCACCTTTTCTTTCAAATGGGAAGACCTCATTAGTGATAACTCGTTCGAAATAGCATAAAAAAGAAAACTTTTCGCGCCGAAGTGAATACCTCAAAACAGGGCCAAAAAGTAGCACCCTTTGACCTAGGAACATCTCCCAAGTTTCAAATCTTTGCCTCAATTAGGTAAAACGTTAGAGGGGGTGGAGGGGACTTTTGGATCACCCTGTATATACATATAGCTTCAAGTAGCGAAGTGGCGTCTGTCATTTTACAAACGGTGAGTCAGTTATGCCATTTTAACGAAAAGCGTGTCAGATATCAGAGATTACACCTTTGCAATGTCAGATGTTTGTACCATAGCATTTATGCCTTTTTTAATGCAGCTGGTAGGATAGAAAATCAGTGATGTCATGATATGATTTGGCTATGCATGCTAGCATCTGATAGGATTGTTACATAAGATGTGATTTTTTTTTTTTTTTTTTTTTTGGCAAACCAGATCATATTTTCATATTACATTAAAAATCTGGTAAAAATTCTTCTTCTGGTAAAAAGGGAAATAATTCTTCAATCATAGATTTGCCTTAGGTAATTTAACTTTTTGTGTAGTGGAAAAACAGGATCAATCTGCACTTGATAGGCTATCGTCACATAAGAACCCTTCACTTACAAAAGTAAGAAATTACTAAAATCTAAAAAACAAATGCATCTTTGGTCTGAAGCAGCAAATAACCCTAGCCCCTTCCTTGAAATTAGGATAGCTGCTTTCAGGACACCAAAGACATTGAATAGAATAGACCGTGCACTCCCTATCTCCGCCGTGTCAGCTGAGCGAGGCCACTTCAGTGAGAGTCCGTGATGGGTAGGAGGGGTGGGAACTCGCGACTGAGCGCCACGCTGCACGAGCAACTTGGAAACATCAGTTGAGCGCTCGGATTTTCGCGAATTACTCGTTCCACTTCATTTTTCGGCAAAATTTACAAGAACCACATGTTAAGAGCATGAAATTTACTATTACTCTGAACAATTTTCGTTTCTCTACAGTCATGACTGACTCGGAAAATGCTTCATAATTGAAAACATGAGGAAAGTGGCCTGCGTATCAGACGAATGTTCTTATAATGCGGACAGCTTGTAAAGATGACGGCGTGGATGAGAAGTTTGCAAAGGGTACGAAAAGGATTTAAAAGAAGGTCAATCATATAAATCAAGGGTAAAAACGAGGAATAATGTTATGGATATTGTACATAAAAAGGCATATAAAAGTTACGAGAGAGTTACTTAATGCTATTTTCCATCTTGATCTAAGAGAAGGATTTGATGGAAAGCTGAAAAAGAGGGGCAACGATTTCGGCAGTTTCAAAGTACCGAGATTTAAGATTATTCCACTGAAAAAGATAATGTTCAAGCCTTATTATCAAACTAATTTGCAAGTCGCAGCTTAATGTTATTTAATCTGCTCAAAAATTTCAAAATCAATACTTCAGTCACTTGTTTATGACTGGCGATCGTGGATACTGTTTATTTTCAACAAGTATGGGTAAGTAATTGCTCTTAATTCCTTTGCATTTTTAGGCGGCTCTGTGATTAAAGTCGCTGCACACGAGAAGGGCACCTCTTTTTAACGATGATCCAGAATCTATGTCACTCATATTTGTTTAGTAGAGTGGTTTCTATCGGTAAATTTCAAGGATTTTTTTCTCAGAAAATTGCAGGATCATGAAAGATAACTCAGTAGAAATTTCAACGAAATCCATGCATTTCCTTCACTGATGAAATATTAGTAGAGATTTTGAACCACCACAACCAAGAAGTGCCATTCTTGCACCCAGTGCCTCAATTTTTCTGCACATTGCAGTGCAGTGGATTCTATGAAATGAGTTTTTATCATGTTCTTACTTTCCTCTGTAAAATTAAAAAAAACACAGCACTTTACTATGTTTTTAGAAAAATGCTGAAAGCATTTACTTAATATTATATTTATCACAAATAAATATCACAAACTGAAACAACACTATTTTGAAATTGAAGACACTAACTTTACTACAACTTTCAATGAAGAACTGCTATTTCTGGCTCATTTAGGGAAGAACAAAATGTGCCATTAGTTCATCATCCGTTGTTGTGTCGTATATTAGTTTCCTGTATAGATAAGTAATAAAACAAATGGACCAAAAATAGTAGTTCCTTAAGGCTAAATGTAGTCAAAGTTCAAAAATTATCATCGGGACATAAACATTCTTGTCTCTTGCCCAGTTCATCAATCTTCATGAATTTGCTCATGTAAGCATACCATAAATTGAGAGTTGTGTGGTGTTTAATCATGAAAACTAAAACACATCTTCACACAAAAACATTTGAATATAATTAAAGAACTCATCAGCCGAAAATATTCGCACTAATCAATTAATAATTAAAAATTTCGGAGCCGAACCATACCAACCTCGTATAAGCGCATTGTTCGTTTACCTCGAGCTGGGGACGGCTGGAGCTCACTACCTCACCGGTGCCGTTTCGGTGTTCCCGCACTCATTGGTCGGTGCGGCATGCGAATGGAAGAGAAGTGGCCACCGCTCAATTCCACAGCGCACGTCTACTCTATTCAATGTCTTTGCAGGACACCCATTGCAAATTCATAAGGTAGTCTGTAAACCGAGACCATCATGCATGGTCATTGAGCCAACCCACAACTCCTTCCCCTTCCACAAGAAAAAATCTTGAAAATACCTCATTTGTTTACCTTGCTGAGTGCTTACCTTGGATACTAAGATTATGAACTCCTCGAGTAAGTCTTGCCTGAGAGATAATGCTGTAATGAGTCTTGCAATTATGATATATGATGCACTGACATAGTCTAAAATGGAAGACTGAAGACCATCAATGAGGGATGGAATTATGGCTGTAACATGCTTCTCTGAGATTTCACTACAGTGTTCCAAAGTTCCGACAATACTACTTGCGTAGAATGCAAGTAAGGTAGTTAGCTGCTGAGTATCTTGATCGAAAACCTGCAACATAGTGAATTTCAGGCTTGCTGAACAAGATTGTCATGATACGGTGTTTCATACTTTTAATTATCTAAAAGTTTCAAGTGAGTTAAAAATAATTTGAGTATGGTGAGAAACAGCATTCCAATCCTACAGGTGCCATTGTGTCAAATACTCCTAAAAATTAGCCATGGTCATGAAAAATGAAGACCCTCGCCAAACGTAACCCCTAAGACATTATCGCGATTCTAATTTTTCTGGTTGGTAATTTTTTGTCAAATGGCACAAAAATTGCACTTGTAAAGCAAGTAGTTGCACTTTTAAGGCTGCACTTTACTTTTTATCGCCTATAACTTTTTACTAAAAGCGCCATGAAATATGGACAAAAATTCAAATTAAAAATCTTCAATAGCCCCTGTGGAATACTAAATCAAAGAAAGAGACATCGACTCCATTCCACATTCAACTAGGAGTATAATAATACTATTTTAGGAATATAACAGCTGATGAGCCAACATACTCCCCCTCCCCCCTTGAGGGTTTCTCAATAAGTCTAGCACATACAATGCATTTCAGTAATTACATTAAAAGTTTTAAGTATTAAGGTCAAAACATCCTTCTGTAGTCCCTTGGTCAGGTAACCAAATCGTTCGATCTTCTGGTTTTGCTAATACTGTTGTGATGATTTACACAACTGCTAGTTGATTAATTCCATCTATCCTTGTGTGTGTCGCTATTTCTGAGTTTTACAATAAGTATAGTTATTTAAGTTCTAAACTATTGCATCTTAATTTTTCACTTGGCTGTGATCTTGAAGCCAATGGATGTGATCAGGGTTCAAAAGCGCTACCGTTGCGCAATGAGATCTTCGGAATCATTTTGGAATTAATTGTAAAGATAGGCAAATTCCAGTTGTCGTACGCATTTGTTGACATAATAATTGATGAATTTGCAGTATCCTTCTCAATACTTCACGTGAAGTGAGACTTTGAAGTGGACTTTAGGCACAATTTCTTTGTATGAAGTTCATTATCTACAGGAATTACTGCCTCATTGAAAACCTTGACCTTATGAAAAACCATTTGATAAGAACTTTATGCACGAGAAAAAGAGTTCAGTGTATGATTAAATCGCGTTTTGATTTGTTTGATTTAGGTAAGCATTGACAGAATGATTGTTGTCGTCTTCTCCGAAGTTTTTCCAAGTTAATTTGCTCAATTCTGAAACATAACATTACTATTTTCACCTGAGTAAAGTTCTAAGTCAGTGCAGTATGAGTGGTCCAGAAGTAAAGGGATTCTGGATTGTCGCTACGTAGCTTCACACAAAGACTCAGCAAGGTACTCAGCTTTGGTGTAGTATCATTTACGGGATTCGTTGGTAATTTTGATTGTTAAGCCCTGTCAGTTCTTTGCTCAAATGGACTTGATTTATGATCAGTTCTTCATGCGCAAGATTATCGACTTTGTCCACATTTCGAACACATACGCTGTCATTTATTACCAAATGTTGACTGATATTTGGAGTATCCACTAAGATTTCCTGCTTCACGATTTCTTCGTTAGACCTTCGTTGCTCTGCCTCCAGCTCACCGAGAGATCCTTTAAAGTTGAGGGAAGCGACAGTAAGTTGAGGAGGAATGCAGTGTACGATTGAATCGCACTCTGATCATTTGATCCGGGTAGGCGATGATTATCTATATGCTTCTTGAATAATCTTTCCCGGCCAACCCAAAGTCTTGCAGTGTGTTTCTCTTCCTTTGATTCACTTAACAGTACTGTGTTGTTGTAATGGAATTATTTTAACATTAAACTTGAATTCAAGAATACTATTCATTTTGTCCGCCATTTTATTCTCCTTGGGTCTTTTTCTTCTATGTCTTCTTTTTTCTTTTTATTTTAGCAGTCTTTAAAAGTCTTCCAGTTTTTCAACTTCACATTAGATCTTTATATATTTCTTGAAATGTCTTTACTTTTCCTCCCAACGAATTCCAAAAAACTTTTATCTCTACTCAAAAGAATTATTAAAAGAATAATTTTACTATTCCTTCTGGGTGATTTCCTTCTGCACTGCACGTTAAAATAACTGTGGCGATCAAGACAGGACGATTAGTTTTACCATTTTTCTTCCCGAACTTTAGAGCTCCTCTTTTGAAATTTTAAGACTTATTTTAATTTTTTCCATTGAAATTGCTTGGTAGTTTTGTTTTCTCAGAGATGAAATGATCTTATGCTGTTCTAGTACTGTTATTTGCAGCTGAGAATCCATAACCAGTTGATTTTCTGTTCGATGCCTTGAATTTGTCTGAAAGCGGGTTTTGTACTTCTGACCTTCTCAATTGCTATTTGAGTGCCCCAAACACACACTGGCGCTTCGAAAGGAGACTGAACGATTGTTTTCTCGTTGGTACATCCTTCTCCTGACAAAAATTTCCCCATTCTGCCAAACTATCATCAAATTTTTGTATAACTGCATAACAGACCCATGGATATAATACAGGACTGTGTAGTTTCAGCAACGAAAGAACTTGTAGTGTCAGATTCGCTTCGTTATAAATGTCTTCTGCAACTTCTGAAGTTAACTTCCTTTCTTTCCGGCACGAGAAAGTAGTGAAATTTTACTATGGTCACGAGTGCAGCATTGTCATGAACTAATGTTAGTGACATTTGTGTACAAACAGTGTGTGTAAAACACTTCAGTTCAACCCCAAAATGTATAAGATCAATTTAAGTATGAACATTTAAAGATACTCGTCGATTGGTTTACATCCTTACAAAATAAAAATCGGACGGAAATGATCAAAAATGACTGAAAAAGCCGATTTTTCACACAGTAACCGATGTGTCTTACAAAAAGTCACTACTGTTTCCAGTTTTTTCCCCTCTACTTCAACCTTAAGGTACATGCTTTTGAGTAAGTAACATTTACTAACATGCATCGATTGTGTACAGATCTGAAAGGAAAGGGAAATCAACCGAAAATGCTCAAAAACGGCGGAAAAAGCCGATTTTTTGCTGGGTAACCGATGTATCTCACGAAGAGTCACTACTGTTTCCAATTTTTTTCCCCTCTACTTCAAGCTAATGGTATTTTTACGAAAAATTTATATTCTGCATTTTGCATAAGCTGGTAAAATATACGTGAGGAATTTAGAAATGGAACGGAAACTAAAAATAGCGATAAAACACATTAAACTAGGAAAATTCATCTGAATCAATGAATCAATGTCAAGAAACCGATGCTAGCATCATAAGGGTCCCCGCTTGTTAAAATGACAATGGAAACATGTGATTCACTTCATCGATCCTTCGAGGGCTTTACTGAAGGTAAAGGCAGCCTGATACTCCTTTCAAAAAGTTAGAAGCCAAGGCTAAATATCCATACAGCACCCCCAACGGCTTCTGCTTATTTTCCTGAAGGATATTTTGTTCCGACACGCAAAAAATGTTTAGGTCAACCCTCAATTTCTTACTCAAAAAAATTCAAATTCATTTACTCATTTTACTGTAACTTTTGTTGGGATAGGTAGTCAAGTCGAAGTCTTAGGGACACTGCATATATCCTTACATGGACATCGCTCGCCGATTGACACCTTCAACCTCCTCCACATAAAAAGCCATCCGTTTCCGTGTTTTCTGAGTGTTTCCAGCCTATCCCTTTCCGTTTTGATCCATAAGCAATCGATGCACGTTAGTGCGTGTCACTTACTCAAAAGTATGTACCTTAAGGTTGAAGCAGAGGGGAAAAAACTGGAAACAATATGAGGCGGGGTTATCACAGTAGGTAAAAAAAACTGAAAGATAGGCAAGAATCGATCTCGATTCAGCGTGTTCTGAGGGCGGATCTTCTAACCGCTTGGCAACCGGGGCACGCTTTTAAGGGACGGCTGAAAATAACGATATACGAAGTTGTTTGTCAGAAAGCTCTCCACACTAGAAATCGTTCACCATCCATCCGCCAGTGGCGCCGGCCGCGCCACCGACCATCGGTGCCGCATGAACCAAGATTAAAGCTCCCGTGTGTGGCTTTGGAACCCAAGTTTTTGGGTCTTTACACATCAACTCAACCAGGCCCGGTACCCGACCCCCTTCGATTTAGCTAAAAATTGGAATATGGGGTCCTTACATCATTCTCAGAAACTACTTGGAGGGGATTTCCCATCCGACGCCCCGTTTGCGAGATATCGACCATCAAAGATTGGATGAATTTTAGCGGTTTTCAAAAAAGCCCTTTTAAGCGAGTCTCATTTTCTCGACTTCCCTCTCTTTTCCTCCCCCTCCGTAGCAAGACTTGGTAACAATCCATAATACTTAAGCAGAGGGTTTCTAAAGCAGATTTTCATGTAGATTTTATAAATGCCCTCAAAATTGAGCTAAAAATTATTTAAATAGCCGTAATTTAGGGTTTTTCAAAGGACGACGGACCAGTCTTGTGGGAAAAGTGGGCCTGGTTAAAACAGCTGGTTTTTTGATAAGTTGTAGGTCTTAACCTACTGATCAAAAGTGTCAATCTGCGTATCTTCCTATCTCGAAGTTTTACTCCACATTTAGGGGGTCAAAGTATGTACCTTGAGGTTGAAGTAGAGAGGAAAAAACTGGAGACAGTAGTGACTTTTCGTGAAACACATCGGTTACCATGTGAAAAATCGGCTTTTTTTCGTCATTTTTAGCATATCTGTCCCATTTCTATTTTTTTACGGTCCTTAACCATTCGACAAGTATCTTTAAATGTTGATAAATTGATTTTAAACATTGTGAGGTTGAGCTGGAAAAAAGATGTCGATTATTGAAGTCTTAAATTTAGAGATACTAGGATTAATAGGTAAAAAATCATCTTTTTTCCCCGATTTTTGACCTATTTGAATTTATTTAGGCCCTTTTTCCTCCGATATCAATTGAAAAAAGTCACCCAAAAATATATATTTTAAGCTTAATGTATAAAAAAAAAAACCAAAAATCAGAGAGACACTTTGTAGGATGATCCAGTTTGAACATTGAGTGTCAAAATAGTAATAAAGGACGACGGACCAGTCGATGGGAAAAGTGGGCCTGGTTAAATCGGCTGGTTGTTTGATATGTTGTAGGTCTAAACCTACTGATCAAAAGTGTCAATCGGCGTTTCTTCCTATCTTGGAGTTTTACCCCCCATTTTGAGGATCAAAGTTGCCAATTCAGCGTATAATTGGTACTATTGACACCTGGGTTTGTTGGTCGCCTATAAGATTCTTTAATGATTTTTTGAGTCTATTGCATTATCTGAATAGGCCAGAGACCATCCGAACTCAAAAACTGAACAATTTCGCCTTATAGGGAAGGGGGGGGGGGTGTGTTTACGCCACCGATTTCAGCGTCGGCAAGTCGCATTAAACCGATTCTTTCCCCATGTTTTGGAGAATTTTTTGAGCAAATGATTGCGACTGCATCTTGAAGGGTCGACTAAGATGCAGCTCAAAATATACCTTAGGAGGGGAGGGGCCAATCGAACTCGAGCAGCGAAACTGGCTTGCGCGGGTCGGATCAAATCGATGCTTCTACCTTGTTTTGGAGAACTTTTTACGCAAATAACTCCCGCTGCTTCTTGAAAGGTCGACTGAGATGCAGCTCAGAATATACTTCGGAGGGGGGGGGGCCGCGACCGATGTCGGGTAGCGAAACTGGCTTCGCCAGTTGCATCACTCCGATGGTTTCGTCATGTTTTGGAGACTTTTTTATCCCAATGAGGCCGACTGCATTTCGAAAGGTCGACTGAGATGGAGCACGGAATATACTGTAAGGGAAAGGAGGCCTCTCAATCCGCACCCTTCGTCGCAATAGGATCCTCAGCATAGGTCAGTGTAGCACTGACACTAGTATAGTGGCACTTTTTATCGTCGCTAGTACGATTAAGACTTAATACCATTTAACGCATCATTCAATTTTCAGCATATCCTGATTCCTGATGCATTTCAGAATTTCGGTGAGGGGAGGGGTTATTTGCTTTTAAAAAGGAAAAAAAAATAGTAAAAAGAAGAAATATATGACCTTGTTTTTTCTTAGATTTTCTGATTACGTAAGAAAATCTCAGGGAGCTCGCCTCACTAACTGCACTGAGAGCTTCCAGGATTTTATCCATTACTAATGGAGCTCCAGTAAAAAGAATGAAAAACCCAGAACTGGTCAAAAACCTTCAGAACTTATTGCATTGCATAGCTTGCCTTTCTGCGAAAGCTTTGATTTCTTTCTTGCCTTTCTTGACATTCTGCAAAAGTGTTTAATGCTCGATAATAATTCACGATTTAATATAAAAAGTCACCTACAAGATAATTTCTGAAATCAATCGACGTCATACACTCTCAGTTGTGGGAATCATCTGCACCATTAGCTGTCGCTTAAAGAAATATTAGGCTCAGTCGGAAATGCGTGTCAGCTATTAATGACCCTTGGAATTATGTATGAGTGATGCTGGTCGTAAAAAGTGCCACTATACTGTCAGTGCCACACTGACCTGACGTGAGAGATTCTATTGCGACAGAGGGTGCGGATTGAGAGGTCTCCTTCCTCTTTCAACATATTCCGTGCTCCATCTCAGTCGACCTTTCGAAATGCAGTCGGCCTCATTGGGAAAAAAAGGCTTCAAAACATGACGAAACCATCGGTGTGATGCAACTGGCGAAGCCAGTTTCGCTGCCCGACATCGGTCGCGCACTTTTTGCCACCCNATCGGTGGCGTAAACCCCCCCCCCCTCCCCATTCCCCATAAGGCGAAATTGTTCAGTGTTTGAGTTCGGATGGTCTCTGGCCTATTCAGATGGTACAATAGACTCAAAAAACCATTAAAGAATCTTATAGGCGACCAACAAACTCGGGTGTCAAAACTACCAATTATATGCCGAATGAGGTTATTGCGTGCATTTTTTTTATTTCAGTTTTTAGAAGTTGGTGGTGTGCTGATTGTTAAGGTATTTCTTTAAAAATTTTCTAATGATCGGAACAAGGAGAAAAAGCGTCGAAAGTTAAGAAACGATTTGAAACGGGATTCCTTCCTGCGCTGTTCCTTCCCCCATTAAAACTTCTGAGGACGCTCTTTCACAAATCAAGGACTAATATACCTAAAATTTGAACTCAATTTGACCAGGGGGTTAAGGGGTTTCATGGATCACACATTGGCCTCTGCTACCATTTTACCCTTAAAAATCGAAGAATTCTAAAATTAAAAAAAAACGGCCCTACTTACGCTATTAAGGTTTTCACTTTTTCAATCTACAGACCTACCTACCTTGCCACTTTCATAAAAAAAATGGCGGGAGGTTTTCAGAGAAATTTAAACTTTTAAAACGAACTGTGCGCCAGTTAAGGTTAAAAACGGAGGAAAATTGGCAACCTCAGTTTTTTTCAAAATTTGCCTGATACCGAATATCAAGCAAATCCATCGGCAAAAAACCAAGCTGCCAATTTCGGCCATTTTGAATTATAACCGACCGCCATTTTGAAACAGTTTGAGACAATGACTTCAGGTTTGCATGAAAATTTTTCTTCCTTTATATTCTTTCAGACAAAGTATTACTAGGTAAGGGTCTTTCTATTTGAGAGGAAAACGCTGGGGTCCTCCCCCCCCCCCTTCATGAGGACCTCATCTTAAAATTTAAAGAGGGCCAAAAAGTAGCTCCCATCGACCTACAAACATCTCCAAGTTTCAATGCTTTAACTCGATTAAGTAAAAAGTTAGAAGAGGTCAAGGACTTTTCCCTCACCTTGTAGACTGACATACTTGGCAGAGAACCTTTATTTCTAAAAGACTTACTAAAAAACGGATAAATCAATTGTATGTATACTGAAAGGTCCTGTGTGATTAAGAAGCTACTGAAAACTGAAGGATTTAATTAGCAGGTGTTTTAGTTTCTCATTCCAGGTTAAGAGACTGTCTTTTTCAGAGGATTTTTCCCTTGGCGATTGGATAAAATCTGAAATTCAATAGCACTCACTTTCATGGCTTTTCTTGTGTTGTTACAAATCATCTCCAGGAACCCAAGATCAGTGGCACAACGATTGTAAATTGCGGATTTGGAGAGCGGTAAATTTTTCTTTTTCAAAGGAAAAAGCCAATGAAATGCACTTGTCTCCTTTTCAACTGGTAGAGCTTGAAGGACATCGGCAAAAGTTTTGGTTTCATGATACGGTAACACAAGAAACAGGAAGTCTTCGGTATTGTATTGATGGATGTGATACCTGAAATGTCATCAGATAAGTCAATGAGAAAGGTGTAGAAAAATTGAAACACTTAAATTCAGAACATAAACTCTAAACTCAAACAACTTAAAGCTAAACCCAAGAAGATGCACTGGTTGCTGGGACGGAATTCCAAACTGTCAGTTGATAACAAAATTCTTTTGTATAAATGTATCTTAAGGCCCGTCTGGAGTTATGCCTGCATGTTCTGGGGATGTGCTGCAGACAGTAACATCAGACGGATCCAGACGTTCCAGAATGTGACTCTGAGACATATGGTTAATGCCGAGTGGTATATCAGAAAGTCTGATATCCACAAGGACTTAGGCATTGTGTCAGTGAAGAATCACACTCGGGAACTGACGGAAAATTACGAACGCCGCTTGGGTTTTCATCCTAATGTCGAGGCCATTTCCCTCCTCGATAACTCAAACATACTTCGCAGGCTCAAAAGGCGCAAGCCTTTTGACCTGATCTCTGATTTTTTCGATGACTAATTTAGTCATCCATCACAATAAGGAATAGTAACTCTCACGAGCGAATTAAGACATTTTCTGTAAGTACACAGTTTAATTTAACTTTTCTTTTGTATGTACAGTACTAATCATGTCTGATCTTAAGTATTTGTCTAATTTTAAGTAATTAGACAATTGTCTTTGTAGATAGTTAGCTATATTTTTAATATTACATTAAGTTCTTCTCATGTTCTCATCTTCTTCACCTTTCCCTCATTTATCATTAGTAGTTAGCTATCTCTAAGATATATATGTTTTATATCCTTAAGCTAAAAGTGCTAAATTTGTACTTCCAAAGACTATAATAAATATTCAAAAAATAAATAAATAAATAAATAAATTGAGAACTTTGCCACTGCAGGCTGATTATGAACGATCGATTTCTGACAGAAATTATGATCGATTTGGGGATGCTATCGATTTAGAAAAGCATTGCCCTTATGGGCCGTTCAAATCGATAGGACACAAATCGATGCAAAAATGCAGAAATACGGCCCTAAATCGATGAGAATCCCGGAATCGATGGAAATCCAAATCGATGGGTCCGGACCCATCGATTTGGATTTCCATCGATTTCGTGAAAAACCGAGTTTTCCATCGATTTGGGTCACGCTTCACGGGATAGTTTTAAAGATGGCGAATCTCGTGCTAGTCATTGAGAACTACGAAGATGTTGTAAATGAAGAGATAGAGGAGCGAATACGAATTGAGGAGAGAAGAATATTGAGGATATTACCGTGATTTTAAAATTCATAATTAAATTGCCGTGATAAAATTTAAAAATTTCTAAAATGGAGCATACAAAATATGTAAAATTGTGAATGAAGTTAAATAAATTAAGAAATAATTTTAAAACAACATATACTTCCATCTAACGATACTACCATGATAAAATTTAAAATTCATAATTAAATTGCCGTGATAAAATTTAAAAATTTCTAAAATGAAGCATACAAAATATGTAAAATTGTGAATGAAGTTAAATAAGTTAAGAAATAATTTTAAAACAACATATACTTCCATCGAACGATAAATTGTCTATGAGCCCCATAAGAACAGAGAAGATTTCTCCATGACAGCAGTTTGAACTTTGGCCTGCTCACTATCCAATAAAGAATTTTAAATTCTGATTTCAACTACTTACACTTAAGAATTAATTAATTTGCCACTTATTTTTTCGCAAGACTATGAAGGAAGTTTGCACAAATATTATAGGGGAAAGAAGAACCCTGAAGAGTATAATATGAGAAGGATTTTAGCTTCATTGAGGCTGGCTCTACTGAAACAATGGGCTGTTGAGTAGAAAGCAACACGGAGATTTTTCATGATTTGCTTTTAAGAGGGCAAAAATATGATGGGAAATGTTCTTGATTTCAACCACCTCAGCTCTAACATGTAAAAATACATACCCAGCAAGACTGCGGTATCTAGGGAAATGAATCTGAGAGAATAAGAACTTTACACAAAGAAACAGGAAAAGGCGCATGAAAATTTGTAACTGAAACACCGACTTAGATATTTTAATTGGGATGAAAGTGCAGGTATACAAAGAAAAAATTGCATGCAGCATAAAACTGAATGTAAGAGTAAAGATTATTTTGACACCACTATTAAGATTTAAAATATGAGATCTCTTGAAGACAGAATTGTTAAACCTAGCAAACAGTGCTGAAATGAGATGTATCATTTGAAAATTGAGTTCACTGTGCATAGATGGTTATGGAGATGTCCAAGGTTCAAAATAAAAATTGTATGAAACGTATAAAACTACAGCTATATAGGTACTTACAGAAAATTTTGTTGCTCTTTGCGACATTCTAGTAGATTCAAGTGATGAAAAGGGAGTTGATGAAACTTGGTGGAATTAATGGCTGTTTACAATCAAGTTATAGTCTCCGCAAATCCTTAAAATGTGCGATAGAACAAGCAGAAGCCATAATTCTGAGTGACACAGCTATTTAGAATTGGTGAAGTCCATGGTGACTTGTTGCTCTGGCTAGCAAGTGTTTTAAAATATTTTGAGTTGAACACATAACTGAGAACAACTGATGATAAACTGACCCCTTGCTGCTGTGAGATTGGACTAGTTGAGCTTGTTAAACGCTGATTATCCTGGACTTTAGTAACTATCAGGACTCTCAGAGCCCCCTCATGATTGCACAGTTATTATTGCTTGATAAATCAATCCATAAATGGGCAGCATATCAAGATAAATAAACCTCTGGTTAGGCATGCAGTCATGTAGATATTTCTCTATAAGGCTCTCCTATGGGTTCATTGTCAATCATCACTCGGGCCCATCATGGAAACTCTTAGGGACAAAGATGAAAATCAATGACGATTCATTTAATCAGTAAGGAATGGTAAAACTTTCTTCTCAAATAGTTTATGGTATTTTAATACTACATGTGTTTTTGCACTGTTGGACCAATACGCTAGTACTGGTTAGCTACGCTAATCTAATCGCAACCAATGATCCGATGAATTATAGTTGTGATGTTATGCGCAACCAGAGGATTTTGGAAGTGAATTCCTTAAATGGAGAAGTGATATTATAAAATCTTTGACACATGGTACCTGAGGATGTGAGATTTAATTACTAATGAAATCACAGATGATAAATGATTTGGAAGCTACCCGAAGAAGGTTATCATAAGCGGCGATGTCTATGATGATCACTCAGTATCCGGCACGAACTAGTTTTCGAAAATTAGAGCACGCACTTGCGAGGGATTACACTACAAATTACGGATGAAATATTAATGACTAAATGTGAATAAGGACCTCGTGTATCACCATTGAATAGCTTTGATCGGTATTCAGAGAGCGAACCAACATCACGTAGATCCGTCACACACACCACTTTGCGGTTTGCTAACCATTTCTCCAAATGATAGAATGTGATCCAAATTGACTGCCTTATAATGGAAGTATTGTAATGATCTAATTAGTTCGATAATATCTTCAAAAAGTAAAATAACTGACAAGAAAATACTCATTCACCAAGAGACTTAGAGAGAATGCAGAGATAAGCAGTACATAAACAAACCTTTCCGAATCAACCGTTCATCGCGCGCACTTTCAAATATTTTGAATATTACCGCGAATATTTAATTTGACGGACTACAAATCATTATTTGTACACTTTTCATTGTAATTCTTTCTTAATTTTCTTGATTCTTTTCTCATTTATTGGATCTGTTGTCCAAAAAACGGCGCTTCCACTTGGAAGCCATTTTTTTTTTTTGGAAATCGATCGGAAATCGATGGGCCTTAAAATCTGTCAGAAACTCCTAAAATCGATCAGAATTCGATCGTTCATAATCGGCTTGCAGGATTGGCATTAAAACAAATTGCCCTCTTTCCAAACAAGCGCAAACCCACGTATTTCCCTCCAGATGAGTGTATAAAGGTAAAAAACGGGATGGACAATATTTTTTTTCAATTTTTCGAAGTTGGGAAAATCTTTTTCACTAAAAAGTCCTGTCCTGAACATTGCATCTTAAGAGGCAATTGCTACTAATTGTAGTACCTAATAACAATTAATTTACCATCAAAATGTTCAAAAATAATTCTCCTTCAAGAACTTCCTTCACTCCAACTAATAATTTAAAAATTATGCTATAGAAGACACTTATGAGCTCTTGAAAACTGCAAAAGGGACTTTTCAATAAGAAGAATGTATAAAACTTCATAAGAGCAGAATGAAACTTATTCTTTATGTTCTTTTTTATCAGTATCAGAATCAGAATCATCTAAAACTGAACAAGCAATCAAAGGCATTAGACGGGAAAAATTGCTCCAAAATGAAGGGTTTGTGACTAAAAAGAATTATGATCTGTCATAAATAAAAATCATTCTGATTTCCCGATATCTGCAGGCTGTCCCAAACCACCCATATCGGGCTGTTGTCTTGATTGTTTCACATCCGACAAAGTCGGAAACGGCGAGTACAAATCGGGAATCAACACGAGGGAATCGGAATTTCATAATCCCGAAGCCTCTCCGAGCGCCCCTAGGAAGATAAAAGGGAGATCCTTAGGGTCGAACGATCCCGCACTTTTTTTGAAATCGCAAAAAGAGTTGTTCGGAAAAGTGGCCTCCAGTAATTCCAAGAATAAATGTTTTTTCAGAGTTTGAAAAAGTTGATGGGTTGCGATAGCTCCGGGCTCCTAAAAAATTACATTGGTTACATGGGGGAAAAAACGGGCAAATCTACGGAAATAGTTTCTTGGCTATAGAATGGACCCAAATGTAGAATAACCGAATTTTCTGTTAGGAATGCATCTAGAGGCTTCTTTAGAGTAAGAAAAGTATACTTTTGACTCATTGGGAGGGGGGGAGGGGGGCATGGCGCAGCCGGTTATGAGTTCCCGCGCGCAGCAAATTGAGCAAAATGACAACCTCCTGTCTCCACGTGCCCATCTCCGGGCCGCATATTCCCAAACCCCGCGTGAAATGTGAAAAATCTAGCCCGTCCTCAAA